CTGATAGGGATTGTCCCCCACCCTGTGTTTCTGTGGCCATAGATTAGGTATGAGAATCAAGTGTAAGCCGCTCAGAGACCCCTTAGCGGGGGTTCGAGCGGGGTAATAAATCGAATAATAAATAAATAAATAAAATAAAAATAAATAAAGATTGTATTAGGTTGGCTGATCACCAGAAGTTTCATGGTTTGGGATTAAATTGCAGTCTAAAAGGAGCTGAAACCTGATTTGATGAAGATATCTAATTATATTAGATTTATATCAGAGTTTGAGATTATCTCTAATTTTTTCCCAGGGAATCTGCTGGACGAAAAATAGTGAAATAAATATATTTACCTTCATCTAGCTTGATAGGGGCCAGTGCATGCAAATTCTTTTAAGCAAACTGTATTGGAATGAACTTCAGCATTAAGGAATATTGTATATGTTCCTTCACAGGAGCAACTTAAGAGCCACTACAGACGAGCAGTTTATCATGTGGGGTAGGATAGAGGGTATTTTTTGGCATGCGTGTGTTTGTTTTTGTGTGCTTATGTATATTAATAAAATATATGGTATCTTTTCTAAAACTCTGCATTCTTGCGTACGTAAAGTCTGTCCCCTTCACCAAGTGCTCAGGGTTCCCACATTTTGTGTGTCGCTGGACTAGGCCTTGTGGAGAAACATTCTTCACAGTGTAGATTTCATGGTTCGAGTTTTCTTGTAAGTAATTGTAAGGTCCTCCATGTTTTTAACTCATGGTATTCAGCTTTCATAATATCAAGTGTTTCGATACCTTGAAATATTTCTGTTGTAGTTTTCAGGGCACATTTTTGCTATATTTTTCATTTATGTATCATGATTGGGTGATGTCCTTACAGAGGAATGATATTTTGACATCTCTGAAATTATGTTTGCTCATATATTCGGTTGGTTGTTATCAATGTATGTATAAATTTGATCTGTATGTCAGTCTTTCTGCGATTCCTTCCCTCAATTTTCCTCCCTTGGTGTAGAAATCAAATCCTAAACATTTTTAAACTGTTTCCTCATGGAAGATCATTGGTGAAACAAGTACGTGTTTGTTTTTTACAAACCCTTAAGTGTTTACTTCATATTCTGAGAATCTGCATGATAATATCTGCAAGATGAACTATGTAAAGCCCTTAGGTCAAATCATTCATAGCTGTGGGGTTGGTTGTTGTCATCAGTATGCAGATGATACCCAGCTCTAGATATCCTCAGGGCTATTTTTGGGCAGGAACGCACAGGAACGGCGTTCCAGCTGGCTCCTGAGTTGGCCATGCCCAGCAGGAATTCATTAGCATAATAGGCCACACCCAGCAGCAGAAACTCATTAGGATTGGCTACATTAGGGGTGTGTGGCCTAACATGCAAAGAAGTTCCTGCTACAAAAAGCCCAGGGTTTTGACAACAAAGTAAACAGAATAAGAAGCAAAAGGTGAGTGTGGTAATACGGGGGTGTGGCCTAATATGCTAATGAGCTGTGATATCAGGGGTGTGGCTTAATATGCTAATGAGTTTCTGCTGTTGGGTGTGGCCTATTGTGCTAATGAGTTCCTGCTGGGCTTTTTCTACAAAAAAAAAGCCCTGGATATCCTTATCAGAGTTCCTTGGTGATGCAGTAGAGGCCCTAAATCACCGCCTGGCTGAGTGAACAAACTGAAACTAAACCTGATGATGGTTGAGAAGGTGGGATCTTGAAGGGCATTGTGCTCTCCACTTCTGATGGCGTTCAGCTGACCCTTGCTGACTCCGCCACGAGCCTTGTGGTTATGCTGGATCCAGCTTTATTACTGGAGAAGCACAAGTTAGGGCAACTGCAAAAAAGCCTTTCTGCCACCTCAGCCTAGCCCGAAAGATGGCTGCTTGCCTTGATACGCCCGATCTGGTCACCTGGATCCACGTCACAGTAATATCAAGACTAGACTACTGTAATGCACTGTGCATCAGTCTCCCCTCAACGGAAGCTCCATTTGGCTCAGTTATCTGTTGGGAACAAGACACAGCACACGTATTACTCCCTTTCTAGAGTTGCTCCGCTGGCTGCCCACCAGCTACTGGGCTCAGTTTAAGGTATCATCTGTCACATGCAATTTTTCTCATATCCTTGGACTCTCATATCGGCAAGACCACCTCTCCCCCTGTGCTCTGCCACAGCCGCTTCACTCCTCTGAGTGAGGTCTTCTGCAGGTGCCAACCTGTGAATGGGCAAAACCGACAGCTGCCCGTGCACCCGGCCTCCATTGTGGCCCCCTCTGCATGGAACGGCCTACCTGAGGCGGTCTGGAAGGCTCCCGCTCTCCTCCCGGCTTCCCACAAACTGTGCAGAACTGGGGGAGATACTGACTGGGACTTGTGGTCTTTATTGCTGCTTAGTAAGTAGGATCCCATGATGTAATCCCTGTACTGCTTAATGTATTGCGTCAACACTTAGGCTATGGTCCTGTTTTCTGTAGTGGCTCCAGTCTTCCAATATCCTAATGCATTCGTTATTGAATATCCCATCCTGCTGATTGTACTGACTCATTCTTACTCCATGTAAGAAAGGTGTACTATGAATAGTGTAAATAAAACCCAAATCCAATCATTGGGCTGGGGTGAGGGGTTGAGTGAGCCGTGTTCTTGGAAGAGGGATGAAATGGTAATAAAAATGTTGTTCTTTGTTCTTTGTCAGTTCGACCCTTTATGTATATATAGATACTGAAAATGCATGATACTTCACAGTTTCTCTTTTGTGAAACTAGCACCTTGTAAAAATCAACTTGTGATTCCTGAATTTCCTGTTAAACTATTATTGCATCTGCTTCTGAGCTGAATGCTCACATCTGTGTAGTGTGAAAAATCACAAAATATAACTACTTTTTTTCTCTCCCTTCCCATTTCTTTCCCCCTGTGACTCCTTACAGATTTGAAGAACTTGTGAAAAAATTCAAAGTAGAATATCATGCCGGTGGATCTACTCTGAATTCCGTTAAAGTGGCCCAGGTTGGTTGGTTTGTTAAAATAAACGGAAAGGTATTTGGCTTTGGTACACCCCCCCCCCCCCCCGAAATTGCTTATCTTGTGACATGGGAGCATTGGTCATAAGAGAGTGTGATGTGTTCTGCTGTTTGTGCAAAGAACTGAACACTCATAAAATTGCTGCTTAAATCAAGGCATCCATCCAGGTTCTCAGGGAGAGATGTGATACTCATGTATCTTGTATCCCACTGGAAGTTCTTCAGTATGGTCGGTGTGCATTATAGCCAAAACCTGGGGGAAAATGTATAATTTACAAATAAGAAATGTTAATTTGTGTGCAAAGTGTGTGTGTGTATGTGTGTAAACAAGGGCAATTGTCAGCTGCTTGAGTCCATGCCGATGATATTAGCTGGCAATAAACAGACATAGAAACACATGCATCTCCCTCATATTGAATCAGAACCATCAAACTCAGGATTATCTACTCTAACTGGCAGTGGCTTTCTGGGGCCTTAGAGGTCTTTTTTTTACCAACAGATCCTTTTAGCTGCAGATGCCAGGGACTACACTTGGGACCTTCCTCATGCCAAGTAGATGTTCTGCCACTCTCCATAACGGTTCCCCAACAGTTTTACATTCCAGAAGAGTTGCAGTATTAGGCTGTTGTTGAAAATAACAGTGTCTCTCCTTATTTGTGCTATTTTTCAGTAGTGAAAGACATTAAAGTTTGACTCTTGTAGAAAATATTTCTAGCCAGGGAACTGATCAGGTAGTTGCATTTGGAGGGCCAAGGGATATTTGAAATTATTAGATTAATGAAGCCTATATAAATCTAAAGCAGTGTAAAAATACCAGCAGCAAAACAGTAAACAGCAGCACTAAAAAAAGTAACAGTAGCAAGGGTAGGTATTAAAACCAGTATAAGAGGCAGGTTAATCGTGGTGAGAAGAAAAGTCGATCTCAGTAAAAGGCCTGGGGGAAAGGAGGAACCTTCTCGTACTTCCAAAAGCTTAACGAGAGGGCTGGGAGGAGAGGTGCCCACTCCGTAGTGGCTGGCCACTCTGTTTCAGAAGGTGAACGCACAGAACTGTAACAGATGGATCCTTTGGGAACAGGCAGTCCTTGGAAATGACCACCTCAAATTGTACCCAGAAGGGAGCTGGCAGGCCATGTAGTTGTTTCCAAAACAGCAGGATAGGTTTCCTGTAATGCAAGTCCAGTCTCAATATCACCGTTGTTGTACTTTGTACTGGCTGAAGCAGAAGGTTCATGCCTTCTTTGCAGTTGTATGTGCTGCATGTCCTGATTGAGGGCACGGTAAAGGTCAGTGCCGGCTCAAAAATGGTCATGTCAGTTGTATATACCTGTTTTCCCCACCAGCTGTCAGCAGAGCGAAACTGCAGGAGAGCTTCCCGAGAGGGAATGGACAGTAATTGATACAATGATCATAAAGAGATGCATTAGAATTGACCTGAACTTCTCGGGAGTAAAGAGGTCTCCATTGTCAGAGCATCGTTGCTCTTAAAACGTTAGGGCAGAAAGCCCTATAGGGAGTTGGTGCTTTACAAGATTTGACTAAAAGGTCTGCCCGTTTCTGAGATCTGGACCACTTGGGAAATGGGCTAATGTTGACTTGAAAGCAGTACTGCAGAGTGCACCAAGCTTCAGTGTAAAATTCTAGGGAAATGTTCATGATTTGTCACTGTATTGTTAGCATATAAACCACATCACATGGAAGGCAGCTCCTGTAATTAGAGTGCTTAGAGCTAGTGAAAGTTTAGATTGAAGGAAATTAGGGCTGCAGAGACACATATAGAAGAGGGTGGAGATTCTTGATAGTGAGGAAGCTTGAAGAGTTTGAGGTAGTAGTACAGAGAAAATGAAAATAAACCAATTAGGAGCAAATGAGCAGGATAATTTCCTGACAGAGAAGAAACAAAGCAACAAGAGTTACATTTCTGAGGAGCAGACTGAAACAGAGTTGCTAAAGCTGGTCTAGGATCATTGCTTAATAGAGAAAATAATGCATGGTCTGTTGTCAGACCCTTGATGGGTAAGAAGGTGAAGAAAACCTCAGAGTTCCGCTGACTGTCAGGCAGATGGAACTGATGATCAGCAAAAGAGGCTATCTGGAGATTTCTGGGAAGCAGTTCTGGTTTGAGGGGGACTGGACAGAGTCAGAATATGAACATATCGAGAGCAAATGTCACAGAAATATTCAAATGAAATAATGTCATGGGAGTCTTTCAAAATACCAGAAGCTGAGAAGAAGGCTACCCATTTCAGATTATAAGAAGGCCCAAAAGCCAGCATGGAATTTCTCACCAGATTCATATGTCTTAAACTCAGTTTTTCCTCTTAAACCTTCCTCCACCCCATATCTTTCTGTATCAGTTGTCCGTGTGACTCTGAGAGAGGGTTAACTAGGAGTGTAGTTTGGATTGCACCTTTTACTTGTTTGTGTAGCATAAGCTGTTTCCTGTTGGTTCCCATTGTTGGTTCCCTCTCTGTAATAGTGTGTAAATCCATCCCTTCCTATTAATGCAGGGTGTCCAGAACTGCCCTCAGTGCACCTAGCATTCGCCAGTTTGGTGTAGTGGTTAAGTGCGTGGACTCTAATCTGGGAGAACTAGGTTTGATTCCCCACACCTCCACTTGCAGCTGATGGATGCCCTTGGGCAAGAGCTGTTCTCTCAAGGGCAGTTCTCAGGAGAGCTCTCTCAGTCCCACCTACCTCACAGGGTGCCTGTTGTGGGGAGGGGAAGGGAAAGGAGTTTGTAAGATGCTCTGAGACTCTTGAGTGAAGGGTGGGGTGTAAATCCAATCTCCTCCTCCTTCCTTTCCTCCTCCTCCTCCTATTTTATTTATACAAGTCCTTCTGCAGATAACACAAATAAGAATGCTTTTGTAATTCTTCTATACGAATGTTCAGAGTGCTGTATTCCACTTTTTGTATTCAGAAAAGCCACACAGTACAAAGCTCCTGAGTGTGTCAAACAGCAAATGGGAGAGTGCATGTAGAATTGCACATTCATCTTTGTATAATTAAAAAAGAAAGAATGAGAGTGTTTCAGTGGCTTTTTTTAAAAAAAATGTGTGGACTGTTCTGCACAAAGAAGTTTTTTTTAATGTAGAGAAATAGACTGGTTTGGGCAGACAGATAAATGATGACTACTTGTCTGTAGAAGAAATAAAAAATGACTACTTGTCTGTAGAAGAAATAAAATCCACATGCAATACTTCATCATGCTATATTCAGTTGCTATGTTTGCTTTACATGTTTGGTAGCCAAGGGTAGTACACGGGTATGTCTGGCTTTTAACTGTCACACATGTCATGCCATGTGTATGTTCTGTTTCATTTTAAAAGTCACGTATTTGGTACTTTAAGTTTTACTTCTCAATATTTTTGTATTGGAAAAAATGATTTGCAATGTAACCATGTTTTAGCTCTATGCTACTTTTAGGATTATCTCTAGCAGGAGCGCCAACTTATTTTTCCTAATAGGAACAGTTTATGAACATAAGTGATATCGGGCGCTTTCACACGTGTTAAATAATGCAGTTTAAATCCACCCCAGTGACTGTTTGCAAGTGGATGTTGCCATTTCACACAGTAAAATCCAGCTGCAAAGGGCACTGAAAGTGGATTGAAAGTGCAGGAAGATGTTCCCTGCCCTGGGTGGCCCAGGCCAGCCCAATCCCCATCAGATCTTGGAAACTAAGCAGGGTTGGCTTGGATGGGAGATCAGCAAGGGAGAAGTCCAGGGTGGCTGTGGAGAGGTAAGCAACGAGAGACCACCTCTGACCATCTCTTGCCTTGTAGCTGTAACTGGACGGCACTTCATGCGGACACACAAAGTTGTAGCATAATCCTGATGGCATGATAACTGTTGCCATATCCTATGATTGTACTAAGTCAAGGTAAAGGTTTCCCTTGCTCGAAAGCCAGTTGAATCCGACTCTAGGGATGCGGTGCTCATCTCTGTTCCCAAGCCGATGTCCGAAGATGTTTCCGTGGTCATGTGGCCGGCATGACTAGACGCCGAGGCGCACGGAACGCTGTTACCCTCTCACTGAAGCGGTACCTATTTATCCACTTGCAATTTCTTGCTTTCGAACTGCTAGGTTGGCAGGAGCTGGGGCCAGAGACTATTTTACTATAAAAATCACAAAAAAGTGTATTTACCCATGATGTTCACATTTCTTTCTCATGCACTGAAATCTGCGCCACATTCCTGCCATCTTGTCAGGTTTCATAGGCCAGGCCATCCTTTTTCCTCTCCAGGCAATGTCTGGGAGCCATTCCTACAGAAAACAACCTCTCTTTATCTGCCTTGAAGTTCTTGCTTGCTGTGATAACTGGCTTATTATCAAAGGATTCCAGGTCTTTATGTTGTGCAGATATGGGGAAGATCTCTTATCATGCTGCTGTTGCTGCTTGTAAATTGTGTAAGGTAAAACGTTGTCTGAATAAGTTAAAATTGTCTGGGCCAGTAGCAGTGATCTGTAACTGTAACTCCGCAGAATGCTAGTCTAGAGGATTTCCTACCAGATCTGCTTTCCCTATATCCCTGCTGGCATTTTCCTTCTCCTTGACATATGAGGCTGCTCTCGCGTTAGACCATTGGGCCACCAAGCCTGCTATGGCTTGCATCTGCTGTCCTCAGCTTCCCAGGGTCTCCAGCACAGGGTTAGAGTGGTCAGCTGACTGGAAAACAGGGCTGGCACCTCATTTATTGTTTCTCAAAGTCTCTTTTTTCATAGTCTCTGAGCATGCCTACAGGATCTTGTTCCTGTACAGAGGATTCTTTGGGAGTTCAGCTGTGAGCCTTTTGCTCCATTCTTCTTGGCGCCCTGCAGCAGAAGCCTCCAGGTGTAGTGTTTCCTGTTGGCTTCTGCGCAAGGCTTTCCAAGCCTCAGGTCTTGTAGCTGGCAGGTGCACAGGCAGGTGGGCAGCAGTGCCTAGGGCAAAGGGGGTAGCCAGCCAAGTCGGGCAGGGAGCCCCCCCCCATCCTCCCCCGC